ATTCTAGTGGGTGTATGCCTCCAGGAATTGACGGAATATCAATTGAGATGTTTCAACAAATGGATGCAATGCTGGAAGCACTCACTCGTCTATGCCAAGAAATTTGGAAGACATCTCCCTAGCCAACTGACTAGAAGAGATTCATTATTTTTGCCCATTACAAAGAAGGGTGATCCAACAGAAAGTAGACATTATCTAACAATATCATTAATATCACATAAGTAAAATTTTGCTGAAGATAATTCAAAAGCAGTTGCAGCAGTACATTGGCAGAGAACTGCCAGAAATTCAAGCCGGATTCAGAAGAGGAGGTGGAACAAGAAATATCATTGCTGATGTCAGATGGATCTTGGCTGAAAGCCGAGAGTAGCAGAAAGATGTTTACCTGTGTTTTATTGGCTACGCAAAAGCATTCGACTGTGTGGATCATAGCAAATTACGGATAACGTTGCGAAGAACTCCAGAACACTTTAATTGTGCTCATGTGAAACCTGTACATAGACCAAGAGGCAGTTGTTTGAAAAGAACAAGGGGATACTGTGTGGTTTAAAATCAGAAAAGGGGTGCATCAAGGTTGTATCCTTTCATCATACTTATTCTGTTTTGCTCAGCAAATAATCTGAGAAGCTGTACTATAATGAAGCAGAACATGACATCAGCATTGGAGGAAGACTATTAACAACCTGTGATATGCAGAGGGCACAACCTTGCTTGCTGAAAGTGAAGAGGACCTGAAGCACTGACTAATTAAGATCAAATTCAGTATGGTTTGCATCTCAACATAAAGAAAACAAAAATCCTCACAACTGGAACAATAAGCAACATCATGATAAATGGAGAAAAGATTGAAGTTGTCAAGGATTTGATTTTACTTGGATCTACAGTCAACACCCATAGAAGCAGCAGTCAAGAAATCAAATAATGTATTACATTGGGCAAATCTGCTCCAAAAGACTTCTTTAAAGTGTTAAAAAGCAAAGATGTCACTTTGAGGACCAAGGTGTGCCTGACTCAAGCCATGGTCTTTTCAATCGCCTCATATGCATGTGAAAGCTGGACAATGAATAAGGAATACCAAAGAAGAATGGATGCATTTGAATTGTAGTGTTGGCAAAGAATATTGAATATACCATTTGCTGCCAGAAAAGCAAATAAATCAGTCTTAAAAGAAATACAACCAGAATGCTCCTTAGAAGCAAGGATGGTGAGACTTTGTTCAGTTTACTTTGGACATCCCATCAGGAAAGACCACTCTATAGAAAGGACATCATGTTTGGTAAAGTAGAGGGTCAGCAAAAAAGAGGAAGACCCTCAACAAGATGGAATGACACAGTGGCTGCAACAATGGGCTCAAGCATAACAATTGTGAGGATGCTGCAGGACTGGGCAGTTTTATTCTGTTGTGCATAGGGTCACTGTGAGTTGGAACCGACTCAATGGCACCTAACAGCAACAAGTGGGTGTATATGCCATCTTGAATGACACAGCCCAACTTTCAAGTAGTCCTGATTCAAACCTTTCATTCAAGTCCGGTGGATTTGTTCTATGCTGTATGCACAATTTACTCATGATTATTTCCCTGTCTTTGTTCAGACAGGCACTGTCAACCTAAGGTACACTCTGCTCCCCATTCTACATATTTTCCTCTTTAATGAAGGGACCTACAGATGTTTTGCTCAAGCACATCTATGACTTAAAAAAAAAAAGAGCATGCACTGTCAAAATACACTTTTAAAAATTATATATATGTACATTAATATATTATGTTCAGTCTATACAAAATTACAAAAATTTAAAGAAATGTAATACAGATGAGAAAACATTTAAAATGCCTTGCTAATCACGATGACTTAATACTATCATTAATATCTTAAGGAACAAAATAGAGTGAGTTTTTCTCTTAACAATAGCAGATGTGAAGCTGTATTTCAAGTAGTCTTCTTGATACTTGATATTTGTTGTTGCCAATTTGGGGTCAGTTCTGATTACACTGACGGTTTCTTCCTCTTCATGTCTCCCACAAGAGCTTGTTCATGTGTGTGTGGGGGGGAGGGGTGTCAGTTCTGCCATTTTCTTGTTTGCTTGAGTTGGCTTTATTAGAATTATCGTCACTCAGTATTTCCATGCAGAATATTTGTGAAGTTACTTGTCCACTTGTGAAGGTTATTTTAGATAAAACTAGGTAATTTAAACCATAAATCATTTGACATATGTAAACTGAAATACATTGCAATGCACAGAAAGCAAACTGGAACTCCCTTTGTCTCTTGGAGACTTTTCACAGCAGGATGTGACATGAGGACCAGATGAGGGCGCCAGAGTCTGCCTTATTTCAAACACTGTCCCAACCCACTGCTCAGGAGTCGATTCCGACTCATAGGGACCCTATAGACAGAGTAGAATGCCCTACAGGGTTTCCAAGGCTGTAAGTCTTTAGGGAAGCAGACTGCCACATCTTTCTCCCACAAACACTGTCCTAGCGATGCTTAATTTGTGTGTTAGTCTTTATATAAGTGCAACTGAAGCCATGTTCCTCCTACTCAGCCTTTCCTGATCGTTGCAACTGAGATATCTCCCTTTTAAGTCATCCTGTAGCCTTTAGGTTCTGTCCTGTGACTTCCTTAGATATGTGTGGGGTTTTCCATATTGCAAAACACTGTCACATCTGATTTTCATGATAACCCTCTCAGCTAGCAGGATGCCAAATTAGCTGCATTTTATATATGTGGACACTGAAAGTTAGGGATGTTAATTCAGTTAACTTAATTGACTTGCCGGGTCCAAGCTACTAAGTGGCAAAAACCAAAAAAACAAACCCGTGCCATCGATTCAGTTCTGACTCATGGTGACCCTACAGGCTGTAATCTTTACGGAAGCAGACTGCCACATCTTTCTCCAGTGGAGCAGCTGGTGGGCTTGAATCACCAACCTTTTGGTTAGCAGCGGAGCGCTTAACCACTGTACCACCAGGGCTTCTAGTTAGTGGCAGAGGCTGGAAAAACCAGAGGCCTTGCCTCCTAATTAAAGAGACCTCTAAAACCACACTACCCTGCTTCTATATGCATACACCTCGGGAGCATAGCTTTCTCTTGCTTTTGTTAAACTCCAAAATGCCATAAACACTATAGGTATTCCTTCAGCATTTTCTTCATTTAAATTACTTTGACAAGTAAATTTTAGATAATTTAGGCTGTTTCAATTTAGAGGTTATTGTGATAACCTCAGTAAATATTTATTATAATTAATAGACTGGCATGAGGAAATAGTAGTGACAGTGGCTTAATAAACATGGCAAACTGTAACGCATTTCCAGTAAGAAGGGGACCGTATACTCACAAGGACCACAACATTTCTAAGCACTGACAACAGATAACTTATTTGGCACTCTTCTCATCTGAAAATAAGATTTAAGGTTTTATCACATCTCTCCACCTGACAGGTTACTTGCTGATATCTATTAATAAGATATTAATAACAACTGTTGTGGAAACTTTGCTTTCCTCTTTCCTTATTCCCGTAGTAGAGAAATTACAATCAAACAATGAAGGCAAGATGCTAGCGACGGAGAAGAGTGCATCGTGAATTGTAGAGAAAAGGCTGGACAAGAAGAATCGAGACTCCCACTTTAACTGACACTCTTGAGCCTAAGCAGCCAAGAAGACTTCTGGGGAGGCCAAAAATAAGAAGAGTCCTAACTGAAAATGTTTACCTAGTCACATTTAAAGTTAAGAGGAAGGGAAGATGCAACCTCAAAACTTCCGTAGTATAATAGGCTTTCTTTTGTACTAAATATATCTCTAAAATGGGGAGCTATGTGAAAAGCCCCATCTACCTGCAACTATTTACACTTGGTGGTTCCGGAGCTTCACATGTGTTCTAACCCTAAGAGCCTGGCAAAGAATGTGTCTTAAAGTAGGTGCTCAACAGTTGCGTGTCAATGATTTTTTGCAGGAAGGTTTTCCCTAGGATTGCTTGTCCAGATACCCTTGTGAGAAAATTGTAGAAGTAATGGTTAAAAACTCCATTGCTGTTGAGTCGATTCTGACTCATAGCGATCCTATAGGACAGAGTAGAACTGCCCCCATAGGGTTTCCAAGGAGCAGCTGGTGGATTTGAACTCCCAACCTTTTGGTTAGCAGCCGAGCTCTTAATCACTGCGCCACCAGGGCTCTAGGGGATAGAAATTGATTGACAGGCACTGTTAGACACTTGACACCTTTCAGGGGCGGATAACCCAATAAGCAAGGTAAACTGGTTTACTTCCTAATCTCTAGTGAATAATTTCACGTGGGTTTCACCATATCAGATTAGTAATTAAGCACAAGTAAGACCGTGTTTACCTTGCTCACTGGGTCATCCGTCCCTGTCAGGGATTGTAAACTTGAAAACAGGCTTTGATTCTGTAGGAAGGTGCTGTGGGGTTGGGAGAGAGACAGATGCCAGCCATATCTAGAAGCAGGGTCTTTAATGTGGTGGAAGAATGTGAAATTGTTCACTACAGATGATTTGGTAAGCAAGGTAAGCACTATGCTTATCTTGTCTACTGGATAATCGGTCCCTGCCTTTTGTACCATTTAGCTAGCAAGTCTATGAGGTAGAGATATCAGTATCCCTCGCTTTATAGATGAGGACACAGATTCAGACAGGTGTCGTAACTTTCCTCACAGTTAAATTTCTGGGATTAGGACCCAGGTTTGTTGCATTTCCAAACCCACTTTCTTTCACTATAATTAGCGCCACACTCTGCTTTAGGCGGTTCAAAAATATATAAAGGCAAAGAATTGTGTGCAGCACCGATTTAACATCTGCTGTCTTGCGCTAGGCACACATAACACGCTGTAAAACGGAACGCGACGGTATAAACCGACAATCCCAAACCCGACCTGCGTTCTCTCAACGCTTAGCCAATTTAAAGCAAGCCATTCGGACCCTGGCGCCCAGCGCGGCGCGGTGATGCCCTGCCGCGCCTGGCTGCCCCCCCGCGCCCGCTCACTTCTCACCCCAGGCCGCCGGCAGCGCGAGCAGCACCAGAACCGCCAGGAGGGCTCCTCCCGCGCAGGAGAGACAGGGTGCTGGCGGCCCGGGAGGCTTTGGGCTCCTCGGAGAAGAGGCTCCCATCCTCCCCAAGCACATCCAGAAGCCAAACTGCGAACTCGAAGAAGATGAAGTAAGGGGAAAAAGCAGCTGAGAGAAGAGACCAATCGCCTGGCTGTGAGCCCATGTCTGGGGAGGGCGGCGGGGTTCCGGGACAAAAAGCTTTACACCACAGCTTCCCCTTAAAGAACTAATGGTGAGGTCTGGTTAACTCCCGTTTCGGTTGTTTTTCACTAGTCTCGCTCCCAAAGACCCCTTTAGGGGCCCATGCAGAAGGGCAAAATCTGGCTATGCTTTAGCTCCTGGATGTATTCTGTGCGTAGGGACTGGCGGGCGGTTCCAAAGGCCGTGGATTATCCAGCTGTGCATCCACACACCTCTGCATGACTTTGCCCCTTTCAAGAATCCGTGTGAGTAGTTCAGCTCATGAAATGCCTCCTGTCTGTGAGGAAGCAATTTTTAGGTGATGTGTACAGGATATATGAAGGACACTTTATGTCCGATTCATATAGGCCACGCCTTACTAAAAAATCATCGTACTGTTACTCCTACCTAAAGTGGTGTATCAAAGGTGAGAAAAGGTGTAAGGGCTTTCTGAAAAGAAAGACTTGATTGGAATTACTACTTTGCCACTAATTAGCCCCATTTGTTCTTGGGCAAGGCACTTAACCTTTCAATGCTTCATGTCTAAAAAGAGGGAGGGGTAGGTTAGTTAGTTGTAAGAGTCAAATGTGATAATATATACGAATAAAAATCTCAGCTCATTGCTCCTCCCAAAGCAGAGATCTGTTTAAATGGCATACGTCACTCTTTTTATTCATTTAGAGTATTTACATTGTGCCTGCTATGTGTAAGTCACCTGTGAAACCTGGGTACACAGTGGTAAAAAAACAGGTGTAGCCCTGCCCTTGTGGAGGTTATAGTCTAGTGAGAGAGGTGGGCAATAAACAAGTAAACACGCAAATAAGTATGTGATTACGAATTGTGTAAATTCAATGGAGGAAAGGAACTTGGTACTTGGATCCTCTCCTATAATCTAATTTTATTGACTTTAGTAAGATGGTCAGATCAGTTTTAGATAGGGTGATCAAAGAAAACTTATTTGAAAGGTAATATTCAAGCTGTGATCTGAAGGACCAGCTTATCTAAGAGCTAGGAATGAGCATTCCAGATGAAGGAACCAGAAAGTATGATCGCTTTGGAATTGGAAAGAGCTTGCTCTATTCTAGAAACTGACATACAATGAATGTGTCTGAAGCACATTGGTATAACTATTAATATAATTATACCATGATACTTGTTATAGTCACTGTCAAAGAAGAAAGACCAAGGAGAAATATAAAGAGATACAGAATTTGGAAATAAGGAAGTCCGTAAACAGAATAATCAGTTGAGTGATGCCGGGAGAAACAGGAACCTGGACAAAGTCAAAAGAAATGTCAGGCGCAATGTGTACCCCACCCTTCCCAGAAACTTTGCAGTGACATAATTGTTGACAACTTCAATGTTTTGTTCATTTACCATGAGGTTGTTCATCAGTCCAGTTACGAGGTCAGTTTTCTCTGTAAGTAGTTCACTTGCTAGGAATGGGAGTATTGAGGGCAGTAGAAAGCTTGAAAAAGGGAAACAGCCTCTGGGAGAAGGGAAATGTTTGGAAAAGAGAACACGCTGAGGATGAGTAAAAAGAATTGCTTAGCAGCACTGAGGTTGGGTATAATGCATTTTGGAACCAATTAGGAGTAGGAACAATTAATGGAGTCAAGCTCTTTCTGCAGTAGTACTGGGATCATGAGCCTGAAAACAGAAGTTTCTGTTGATCCTGGGATTGGGACAGACACGTAGGCTCATAAGAAAGTCAAATTTGAAATGGACTGTTCAAATGACTAAAATGGTTGTTTCTAAGCTCAAGGCTGGGAAGTTATCGGGGTGTCAGCTGAAGTTATCAGTGTGGCCCCTATACATGAAGAGTTGCTAACTTGTAATTTTCATCTCTTGTTAGTTCCTGTTGATTCAGCTCTGACTCATGGTGACCTTATGTCTAACAGAACAACACATTGCCCAATCCTGCACCGTATTCATGATCATTGGTACGTTTGAGTCCATTTTTGTGGCTATTGTGTCAGTCCATCTCATTGAGGGTTTCCCTTGTTTTTGCTGACCCTCTGCCTTACCAAACATGATGTCCTTTTCTATAAATTGGTCTTTCCTGATGAGATGTCCAAAGTAAACAGGACAAAGTCTTGCCATCCTTGCTTCTAAGTAACGTTCTGGTTGTATTTCTTTTAAGACTGATTTGTTTGTTTTTCTGGCAGTGCACAGTATATTCAATATTCTTTGCCAGCACTACAATTCAAAAGTATCCATTCTTCTTTGGTCTTCTTTATTCATTGTCCAGCTTTCACATGCATATGAGGCAAATGAAAAGACCATGGCTTGGGTCAGGCACACCTTAGTCCTCAAAATGACATCTTTCCTTTTTAACACTTTAAAGAGGTCTTTTGCAGCAGATTTGCCCAGTGCAATACATTATTTGATTTCTTGACTGCTACTTCCATGGACATTGAATGTTGATTCAAGTAGAATGAAATTGTTGACAACTTCAGTTTTTTCTCCGTTTATCATGATGCTCTTTATTGGTCCAGTTATGAGTATTTTTGTATTTTTCATGTTTAGGTGTAATCCATGCAGAATTACGTATGGACTACCTTCGTTAGTAAGTGCTCCGTGTAGGCTTCATTTTCGGCAACCAAGGTTGTTTCACCTGCATATTACTGGTTGTTAATCAGTCTTCCTCCCGTCCTGATGCCGCTGTAAATTCTGTATTCCATTTCAACAATATTTTTCTCCATTTTTGTTAAAGTTTATATTTATTCTGCCTCTACCCCAAACATTTACCAAGAAACAAACAAAAAAACCCAGAATCTTACATTTCCTGATATTAGTTGACATATCTAGAATGCTGTTGAGGGACCTAAATATATTGCCATTCATCTAGAAGCCAGAATTGTATTATAATGTAGAGACAATGATCACCGTGCACCTAAGTTTTTGGTGCTTCCCCAGGTTTTTTGGTACCATATAAGTTTGGGATTCTTATATAAACTGATAGAGGGAGGATGGAGAACAAATAATAGCTGAGGTTGAATTTCCTTTCAAACAGCCAGTGGTACATAGGAGATCAATTAAGGAATGGAAATGCCGTGAACAATAATGTGGTGGACTAAAATTCATAGCATTATATATCCTCAAAGACCGTCGCACTTGCTGTCAGTGACCACTCTGTCTTCTTTTGGAAACCATATTGTCTCTTTGGTTCAACATTCTTTCTTTTTCCCCCCTTGGCTTTTCTGATTTTTTCCCCCCAGATTCCTCTTTTTTACCCCCGTAAGTGTAGATATTCATCTTGCCTCGTTCTTTGTCCTCTGCTTTTCACACTCAGCAGAACTTTCTTGGGTTTCCTTGTTCAAACCAGTATTGCTCTCTGATTATATCCCCAACTCAGTTCTGTTTTTCAGGCTCCAGAATCATACACTACACTGTCTACTGAACATTTCTACCTTATTGACCCACAGGCTTCTTGAAACTCAAGTTTCTTGAATCTCCAAACTGAACTAATCTTCTCCCCAGTCTGCTTCTCCTCCTGGTTTTCATCTCAGCAAATTGCACAGTATCTATCCATTTACATGAGCCAGAAACATGTGAGTCAGATGCTCCCTGTCATCCCTCGTACAACAGAGACCCGCAAAAACAAGTGAATTGGATACAAGCTAATTGGATACATATGATAATCTAGGAATCCTAAGCATCAAAGACAAAGCTGAAGTATCAGACTGAGAGACAAATGGAAGGAGAGAAAATTCAAAAACAGCAGAAATGGGGAATTATGGATCGTGGAATTGCCAGTGTCCTGCTTGCTGAATCTGTACAGTGCACACAGGCTGAGGCAAGCAGCAACATCCCAAGCTGAAACCCACCCCATCTGGTGCAGCCAAGCAGCAGCGAATCTGCACACACCTCCAGAACCAAATAGGAGTGACATCAGACCTGTGAAAGTTGACTGCAAGCTCCCAAGCCACTGTACATACACCATAACCCTTACCCCACCAGAGTTAAGTGTCTGAGGAGCACTCCCTTCTCCTCATCCATCCCCCTCCCCACTCTGACACCACTCCTTCCAGCATTCAACACCACCATGCCTCCTAAGCCAGGAACTCACGGCCCTGTCCGGAGGCACCTGCTCCTTTGCTGAGCCACTATCATAGGGGGTCCACGGACTTGCACTGTCCTTCACCCCTACTGATTACCTGCACCAGTGTCTTGCTGGCTAATCCAGCATGGCATGCCCTCATTAGGACAAAATGGGCAGAGCGTCCACCTGAAGCCCATTTTCACCTGCAACAGCCAAGTTGGAGCTACAGATTTGTGACATTCGATACCAGCCCACCTCCTAAGAAGGGGCCTAACCCACATACACCAGGGACCTGAGGGCCAGCGGTAATATTCATACCATCTAGCCGCCCATGACAGGTGGCTGAGAATTAGTGGCAATCCCCAATCCCTCCAGCCAATGGCACAGGGCACCCAAGGACTGACTGCACTATCCCCCACCCACTATGCTCTCTAGTGGAAGGGAAACACCCTTCATCTGGGCACCCAGGGGCAGCTTACAGCACCCTGCCTGATCCCCCATATGTACCCCCACTGTAACCAGAAACCCGTGCCTGCTCTGAACACTCCCATGCAGCCTTGCCTGCCCAGGACTGTAGGTGGAAGTCTCCACACCACACACTCAGTGACCAACCACCCGGGCACCTGCGTCCTTACAAATGGTAACCAGCAGAGCACGCACATAACACCCAACCCAATGACCATGGAGAACACCCCCTGCACCCACAGCCAGGTGACAAAGTGCAGATTCATTACCTCACCAGAAAACTCCATCTGCATCATCAGCATCCCCACAAGAACAGTGAACAGACTGCCAGGCTCACACACCTAGTAGCTGCTCTGACCACCTGGAGACAGGAAGTGAGAGCCTCAATGAGGCAAGATTAATGACCAGAGAAGCACACACACCCAGACTACTTGGATATTTCAAAACAAAGCAAAACAAAAATTCAGTACTCAGTAAACAAACACACAATAAATAAATATAATAACTTCTAGATGCCTCGGAGACAACAGTCAATATGAAATCATTTAAAAAAAGCAGGACAGGATGGCTACAGCAAGTGATGAAAATTAAAAACCAGAAAGCCTTCTGGAGGAGGAAAAGGCAGTGGAACTACCTGATAAAGAATCCAAAAGACTAATATACAGAGCTCTCCAAGAGATCTAGAAGGACATCAGGCAAAACACAGACCAAATCAAGGAACACACAGACAAAGCAATAGAAGAATTCAGGAAAACAATACGAGAACAAAACCACAGAATAAACAGACTGCTAGAAACCATACAGAAACAACAACTAGAATTCCAAATGATTAACAATAAAATTTCAGAATTAGACAAGTCAAGAGAAGGTCATAAGAGCAGAATTGAGACAATGGAAGTCAGAATTCTTGAGACTGAAGATAAATCCCCTGACACCAATTTGAGGAAAAATCAGAAAAAAGAATAAAGAAAAATGAAGAAAGCCTAAGAATTATGTGAAATACTATCAAGAAGAAAAACCTACGAGTGATAGGAATACCAGAACAGGAGGGGGGAGGGGTAACGGAAAACATAGAATTGCTGAAGATTTGCTGGCAGAAAGTTTCCCTAATATCATGAAAGATGAGAAGATATCTATCTGAGAACCTCAACGAACCCCAAACAGGATAGACTCCAAAAGAAAGTCACCAAGGCATAACATAATCAAACATGGCCAAAACCAAAGACAAAGAAAGAATCCTGAGAGCAGCTGAGGATAAATGAAAAGTCACCTACAAAGGAGAACCAATAAGACTAAGCTCTGATTACTCAGCAGAAACCAAGGAAGAAGGCAATGGGATGATTTATATAAAGCTTTGAAGGAAAAAAAATTGCCAGTGAAGAATTATATATCTGGCAAAATTGTCTCTCAAATACGATAGCAAAATTAGGTCATTTCCAGATAAACAGAAATTAAGGAAGTATGTAAAAACCAGATCAAAATTACAAAAAATATTAAAGGGAGTCCTCTGGTTACAGAACCAACAACATCAGACGACAATCCAAGACTAGGACACGGGACAGATCAACCAGATACCAACCCAAATAGGGAATTCACAGAAACAAAACAAAGCTAAAGGCCTGAAAATAGGGAACCAGAGATGTCATTATATAAATGAAAACAATGTCAAAACAAAAAAGAGAGAATAAACAGTGTAGTTGTAGAACTTCCATATGGAGAGGAAGTCAAGGCAATATCAAGAAATTAAAGACTGATTTAAACTTAGAAAAATGAAGGTAAATTTCAAGGTAACCACAAAGGAAGCTAACAAACCTACCCATCAAAATAAAAAAGAAAAACATGAAGACTCAGCAAATCAACAATAATGAAAGAGGTGAAAAGAAAATATATAAACAAAAGGAACTCAGAAAATTAAGTGGAACAAAG